ATTTATTTGTCTTTTTCGCTGTCCTTAGCACTTTTCTCCAGTACCACATCTCAAATGAGGGCCTTTGCAGACTGCCAGAAAAAGTGCAAATTGAGTCCACTTTAAGGGTTAGGGTTAGTGCTAGGGAATCATGGGAATTGTTTTTCCCCCCTGATGAGCCTTCTCTGTCAGAGAGCTCTGGTGCCACAATAAAATACAGTTCCCATGATTCCCTAACCCTAACCCTTAAAGTGGACTCAATTTGCACTATTTCTAGCAGTCTGCAGAGGCCTGAGTTGACTTTCTTTCTGTTGTATTTCTTTGCTGTCCAGCTCTCATATTTGGGCATGGTGTTTGGGAATATAATGGCTTGGATGATTCTAACTTTTGCCCTCATTTGTATATTTTTACACTTTATGATCTTATCTATTTCTTTCATGGCTGCTCTTCCTATTTCTAGTCGTCTTCTGATTTCTTGGCCTCAGTATCCACTCTGATCAATGTTTAATCCAAGGTGTGGGAACTCTTTTACTATTTTGATTTCCCCATTGTCGGTTGAATTTATGTTGATCCTCCATGGTCATTTTTTGTTTTCTTTATGTTCAGCACTAAGCCTTTGCACTTTGCACTTTCTTCTTAATAATTGTCCCAAGTCTGTGATATTTACCACTGGTAATATGATGTTATCTGCATATCTTAGATTGTTGATGTCCCTTCTTCCTACTTCTGAGTTCAGATCAGCTCTTCATATGATGTTTTCTGTGTACAAATTGGTAGGATGATAGGATGAAGTCTTGTCTGACCCTTTTTCCAGCTGGGAACCATTCTGTCTCTCCATGTTCTGTTCTAACCATACCCCCTTGTACAGATTTCTCATCAGGGCTATCAAATGTAGTGGCACTCCCAAGTCATTAAGAGCATACCATAGCTTTTCATGAGCTATGCAGTCAAAGGCTTTGCTGTAGTCTATCAAGCGCATGCTGATTTTCTTCTGGAATTCCTTGGTTTGTTCCATTAACCATCATATGTTTGCAATATGGCCCCTGGTGTTTCTTCCTTTTCTGAACCCTACTTGGACTTCTGGGATTTCTCACTCCATGTATGGTTGAAGTCTATGCTGCAGAATTCTGAACATAATCTTGCTTGCATGGGACATTAATGCTATGATCCTATAGTTGCTACAGTCTTTTGTATCTCTTTTTTTCTGAGTGGGGATGTATATTGATTGTTTTCAGTCTTAATGGACATGCCCCACCATAAATACATTTTTAAACACAGCCCTATTCTGAAGACCGCCATCAGTACATCTGGGTGTTATAGTAGTCCATATCTGGTAATATAGAAAATTGTGTAGTATTCATAGACTGAGACCCTACATCCGGGGTAGGCAACCTTTCCCCTTTAAGGGCCGCGGGACTTCAGCTCCCAGAAGCCTCAGCCATGTTGGCCAATAGCTCCTGGGATTCTGGGAGCTGAAGTCTCTTGGCCCTTAAAGGGGAAAGGTTGCCTACCCCTGTCCTACATTATGCTTGTATAGTGTAAAATATAGATTTGTGTAGTTAACATGTGATTTTGCTATACTACCCTTCTGGTGGATACCAGCATTATGCAATGTACTCTATACCTGGCAATTTTTGTCCCATTATGCTTTTTGTCCCATTATGCAACTGAGAATCCACAATGGCTGTTTTTGCCGTCACAGTGATTTAAGTGGTACAGTGAAAGCACTGACAGATAGTGATACACCATCTAAGAATGCGCAGCTGCATGTGAAATGCTTACACTTATGGAACTCCACTTAGGCAACTGTCAACTCGGTGTGTCCATTGTACAAACTCCATGTCTATGACACCAGCAAGAATCCAGCCATAGTATTAGCAGCTTTGATCCCATGTCTTGCATGAATGGAAAGGCACTTCCATTTGAACAAGCCAGTCCCAGCAAATTCTGATTTCCCTATTACGCTGAAGCCACTCCATCATCCTATGTTGAATCCTCAGGAGCAGCTTTTGGGAAGGCTTGGGCAGTAGTGGAAGAGCCAGGAAAGCCCAGTTAGACTCCACTCACACTGCTATGATTGAAATCAGTAATTTTATGCAGAGATAAAAGGCACATTTTAATAACATCCTGATAAAATATTAACAGTCTGATTGTAACACACATCACATTGGAAGTGAGATCCTTCTGAGTTGATTGTTGACCCATCCTCAGCAAATGTGAAGAAGATTGCTTTTAATCATCTGTCCACTGTAGTATAGTGCATTAGTGGAGAATGTTTTCCCCTCCAGATGTTGATGGTGTACAGTTCCCAACAGCCCCCACCAAGCATAAAAGGTTTATGGTATAGTCAAAAGCATCTGGAGGATCAAAGGGTGTCTCCCTTGGTTTAAGGCTATTGCTCTCAATAGTGAAAAGCATCAGTTGACATGTTCCCAAAAATATTGTGTCCCTCAAGTTGCTTCTGACTTATGGTGACCCTAAGGTGAATTTAGCAAGGGGTTTTCTTGTCAAGATTTGTTCAAAAGTTTGCCACAGCCTTCCAAAGAGACAGAAAATTCAAAGACATAGCCATGTTAGTCTGGATTAGGGGTAGGCAACCTTTCCCCTTTAAGGGCCGAGGGACTTCAACTCTGGATCAATATGCAAAGGGATCTTATAGCCAGGGGAGTCACTATGGGGGTGCAGGGGATGGGGGTCACATCAGGCTGGTAGGATAAGCTTTTGAAGTTGTTTTGAATGAAGTTGGTAGCATAAGTTTTTGCAGACTAGTCTGATGAAGTAAAATTAGGTCCAAAACACAGTGCAGAAATAATCCAGTTTGAGACCACTTTAACTACCTTGGGTCAGTGCTAGGGAATCCTGGGAACTGTAGTTTTGTGAGACATTTAGCCTTCTCTGTCAGAGAGCTCTGGTGCTCCAACAAATTACAATTCCCAGGATTCCCTAGCACTGAGTCAGGACAGTTAAAGCAGTCTCAAATTGGATTGTTTCTGCAGTATATTTTGGACCTTTGTCTCAATGGTGCAAGAAGGGACTGAGAGAGTGTGATTTACCCATGGTCACCCAGTGGGTTTCCATGGCCAAGAAATGTTGGCTGTTTCCTAAAATTTCCTCCAGCCATATAGGAGTGTAGAAAACTGCTTATACTAAATAAGACCATTTGTCTATCTGGGCTGGTATTGTCAGCTCTGACTGGCAGTGGCTCTCCTGGATTTCAGGCAGATTCTTTTTTGCCCTGCAGAAAGATCCCTATTAATTTGGGGTAGATTCCTTTCTAAGTACATGGCCTGACTCTCCTAAGTTTATAACCTTCCCTTCCAAGTACCTGAACCTTCTTAGCCTATAAAAGCAGATGAGATTTGGGTTTGATCAAGGTGCTGTGATGGTAAATATAACCTTGATTGAACATGTTGATTAAAAACAACAGCAAGAGGGTGTTTTCTTTTTGAAAACAATAGGAAACATTGCCAAGTAGCCTTTGTTCTTGTTACAATATTTATTACACATTGCTTATATTTGCAATGGTGCAAGCCAAACAAAAGATATATAATAATACAAGAAAATATTGGAATGGCCCTGTCTCCTTTATTATGTGATTTCTTGAGTGTTTTAGCTGAAAAGTCTGTTGGTGTTCTAGGTAAAACTCACTCATCATTCTGTGCCAACAGGCAGAACAGTTCCTCAAAAGATGGTCCTTCTTGTACCATATTAAGTTAATGTCTGTAGTCAGAATGTTCAGCCCAAGTGATTAATTCTCAATTTTACTTTTTCTCCAAGTAATTCCAGATTACAGTTACACTGAACACTACTATAATGGGCCTGCAAATTCCAATTTAATAAGCTCCCTTGACAGTCTGTGGCCTTGCTTTGGTGTCACACTCTTGTGATCTGTTGCTCTTTCTAGTTCTGGCGGATGCTACGTCTTTTAGAGCTACTGCTATACAGTCGCAGTTTCACTTCCCACATCATGTGTGACAAACAGACTGATTCTTTCTCAACAAGAATGAAAGAGTTGCTGCTCTTTTATTCTTTTTTCTTCTTCATCATCACCATCTCATTATTAGATGATCGTTTTTTGTGCACTTGAATGAATTCAAAGTGATAATAAAATCATAGATACTGCACTAATTATGGGCATGTTGTTCTGTATCTTCAAGTTATTTCTGACTTATGGTGATCTGAAGGTGATGCTATCACAGGGGTTTTGAGGCTGAGAGTATATGACTTATCCAAGGTCACCCAGTCGGTGTCCATGGCTGAGTGGGGTTTTGAACTTTGGTCTCCAGATTCGTAATCTAGTGCTCAAATCACTACGTCAAAGCGACTCCCACTATGGACATATAAACTCCCATTTTTGAAAAGCCAAAGTAGCATTGTTATTTGTTTGTTTTTAAAAAGCTCCAGGCACAACACTAGAAAGGTCAGCCCACGTTTCAATCTGAAGGCTGGGTTCCTTACTGCCCTTTGAATAGACAGTTTCTCAAAATGTATTAAACTCTTTGCCAAGCAGCAAATTGCACCTGAAATATTTCACCCACAAAACAACCACATTCCAAACCATTTTCACCAAACTGATATAAAACATGTCTATAGTGACTTTTGTCTGATCAAATTTCAAAATACCCACAGCCAGTCAAGTTACTTAGACACCTGAGGCAGAAATTCCCAGGAGGATCTTGCCCCCTTCCCCATGCTACAATACAGTACAACAATTATATAGACAATGCACAAGTCAGCTGCGTGAGGCAGCCGCCTCACTCTGCCTCATGGTAAAAGCAACCCCAGCCTGCTTGGGAATAGTAAGTGGGGGGAGAGAGGAGGAGAATCATGCTTCCTCATGCCACACAACTGCCATCAATCACTGCTGTGGAAGGGACCTATTGAACCAAAGGAACTAGTCGAATAGAAGCCATACTATGAGCCTATTGATGGATTTTCCCTGTGAGTGAAAAGGTGTGCTACAGAACTCAAGGAAATTCAAAGCTGCAACTGAAATGCAAATGAAATTAAATGAAACACAAAGCAGCATGGCATAGTGGTGTGAGTGTTCGGCTAGGGTGCTGAGAGACAAGGGTTCAAATCCCTTCTCAGCTATGGAATTACATTGTATGACCTTGGGCACATCACTCTCTCTCAGCCTCAGAGGATGGCAATGGCAAACCCCCTCTGAACCCCTAGTGATAGGTTTGACCTTAGGGTCGCCATAAGTAGGAAATGACTTGAAGGCACACAATAACAGCAACAACTCAAAACATGGCATATGATAAGTACTAGCCAAACATGCTAATGCCTTGCAACCTTGCCATGATGTTTTATTGGCAAAATTTGTTCAGAAGGGATTTGGCATGGCCTTCCTCTGAGGCTGAGAGAGTGTGATGTGCCCAAGGATTTAAACCCTGGCCTGGCCACAGTCAAATCACTACATCATGCTGATTTTCATGCTGTGCGGTAATCCCAAATAATCTGTTGTGTGAAGCTTTGCATATCACATCACTAACCAGCCATCTTCCATTCAAATTTCTTGGTATCCAATCTAATTTTTGGTACCCCATTTTTTTTTCATATAGGGAATATGAGCCAAATCACACACACATACATGTTTATTAAGCATGCACTTGCCCATGTGACTATCCAGATGTACTTTCTGAAGTGAATGAAGTCCTTCCATAACTCATGGCATTCCTCTGCTTAATCCTTTCCTCCTTAGCCAGGCTCACATTTGAGCTGACCTAGGCAATAATGGCTTAAGACAGGATATTGAATTACTGTATATCATTTAGTATAAGAAATCAAACCTCTGCCCCCAACATTACAGCCGAACAGGTAAGCACATGTTTAGTAAACATCTGCCTTGTCAATCAGAGAGAATTTCTGATCCTGTGGCTGATTGTTCATGTGGCAAAGAATACCTGAGACTATTCTAATGCAAAAAGGACAGCTGAAATAGATTATATATTAATTGTATTATAAGAGCTTTTAGGCAATCTGTGAAGCATAGAATTTCCTTTCATGTGTTTATGCATGGGGCTTACCTTAATCAGATCTTCAGAGGCACTTCAGTCCCATCCCTTGTTCTGCAGCTGCAGTTTAGTGCACAGGTAGAAGGATAAATGCCTGCAGTTAACTGTAGGTGCAAAGTTGTGTGTGCTGTAATTGAATGGTGCAGAGTTTCAACCAAAGCAGGTGTGTGTGTATGTGTGTGTGAGTACTTGTACCTGTATTTGTCTCTTATGCCGCTTGAACCACTGAGAAGCTGTGTCATTTGTAGAAGATTATTGCATTAGGTTATAAACTGGCTTACCTGAGCTGGCTTAAAATTAGAAGTGGGTGGCATCCTGATAGTATCAGGTGCATTTAGCCGCCGAAATCGCCGCCCAGGTGCAGCCTGGCTCGATCGCCGCTCAGAGGGGTGCTCCAGTGGCCATTTTTGAAAGCTGGAAAACTCCCAGCTTTGAAAAGAGGAGTGGCAATGGAGCCGGGCTGCACCCAGGCAGTGATTTTGGCAACTAAATGTGTCTGATGCTATCAGGTTGTTGCCTGCTTCTAATTTTAAGCTGGCTCAGTTAAGCTGGTTTATAACCTAATGCAATAGTCTCCATAAAAAGACCCTGGAACACTCATAGTCACAGTCACATCACACTCTTATAGTGCTGCTATTCCACTTTTAATGCTCTGGCTGCCTCCTATGGCATTCTGGGATTTGTAATTTGGGAGAAGCATTTAGAATTCTCAGCTAGAAAGCTCTTAGGCCTCACTGAACTAAACCCCCAGAATGCAACAGGAGGCAGCCAGAGCAGTAAAAGTGGAATAGCAGCACTGTAAGAGTGTATTGTGGTAATATACACACTTATTCATGTATACTCACCAACTCAACAGCCAATTGGCCAAGTGTGCTATCCTCATTTGGCAAGGGCAGTCCCCATTAATCCTCTACCACCCCACTTTTACAGCTACTTTTAAAATGTCCCAGTTTCTCTCTCTTCTCACTTTCCCCCTTTGTCCTCCGCTTACTTCAGTTCTTGCAAACTAAATCCAAAGTGCAAAAGTAGTTTGCACTCACCTCAGCAGGTGGAAGAGGGGATGGAATCACCCTTTTTCCATTAGGCTCTGGCAAAATCTAACTGATACAGCCCAGCCTAATTTGTGTGTCCATCCTCAGTAATACTTTTTTAAAAACATACCCTGATGTTGCTTAGAGGCACATGTCCTAATTTGCACCCATGAAGTGTTGGAAGGCATGAGCTAGCCTTAGATGCAGAGAAATGTAATATACAACTAGCAGATGTTGTGGTGACCAATTTGCTGGAAGCTTCTCACTTACACTCCTTCTTACACTGAACTTGCATATTTGTTGCTAATGGTTCACTTCTGCTTTGAAACTGCTGAACCTAAAGACTTATCAGCAAACATGGTTTACAGTCAACTGAAATTCTACTGCAGGTATTTCCTTGGATGTGCTGACCTTTAACATATCATTGTTTGAAATGTATACAAGCCAAATGTCAGTGCATCTTAAAATATACACAATCAACTTAGCTAACCATCTCCCCACACTCCCGTTTCTTCTAGTGCTCTACTGACCCTTGATTTCTCATAAGTACATCAGTATTCATTGGCCTGTTGGCCTGTACTGTTCTAATACCATTATTGGGTTTGGGAAGCTGAATGCATTTCAAACCAGAAACAAGGTGGAGGCGGAGATACACTGTTGTCCTTTTTTACTAAAGTAATGGTACTCAGGACAAGAGGCTACTATCAGAACAGAACACGGAGAAACAGAATGATTCCTAATTGGCAAAGGAGTCAGACAAGACTGTATCCTTTCACCCCATCTGTTCAACTTGTATGCAGAACATATTATAAGAAAATCAGGCTTGGACACAGAAGAAGGAGGAGTGAAAACAGGAGGAAGGAATGTCAACAATTTACGATATGCAGATGACATCATAGTACTAGCAGAAAACCTTGCAGACCTGGAACACCTACTATGTTTCCCTGAAAATATGACACTGTCTTATATTTATTTTTCCTCAAGAAGACACACTATGGCTTATTTTCAGGGATTTCTTATTTTTATTGTTGCTGGTTGGTGCTTCGGGGAGAGAGACCCACAGTGCTGAGTAAAACAGCAGCCACAGCTTTACTTTTTCCCCCTGAGGACACACAATACCTAAAGCTGAGCATCTTGCTCTTCGCTTCGCTGAGGAGACATTTACTTTCACTTTCTAGATGAGAAGGGCTGCCCGTCTTCTTTACTGCTCCATGTCAGCATGCTACATAGCCATCCCGATCACTATGTCTTATTTTTGGGGTATGGCTTATATTGCTCAAATGCTTAGAAATCCAGCTACAGCTTATTTTATGGGTATGTCTTATTTTTGGGGAAACACGGTACTAAGGAAGATCAAAGAAGAAAGTGCTAAGGCAGGCTTAATGTTGAACATAAAGAAAACAAAAATAATGACCACCGAGGACCTTCACAAGTTCAACCTAGACAATGAAGAAATAGAAATAGTAAAAGAATTCCCATTCCTGGGATCAAACACTGATAGAAATTGGGAATGCAGTCAGGAAATCAGAATAAGAATAAGAATGGGGAGGGTGGCTATGAATGAGCTAGAGAAGATGAGAAGATTCTAAAATGCAAAGGTATAAACTGAGCACAACAGTTAGAATCATAGAAGCCATTGTATTCCCTGTTACCATGTATGGATGTGAGAGCTGGACAGTTAAGAAAGATGATAGGAAGAAAATCAATGGATTTGAGATAATATGGTGCTGGAGAAGAGTGCTGAGGATCCCCTGGACAGCCAAAAAGACAAACAAGCGGGTCCTAGAGCAGATGAAGCCGGAAACCTCCCTGGAAGCCAAGA